AGGTGTTGTCCTATGTCCCCGCCGAGGACCTGGTCGCCGTCGGGCGGGTCTGCACCCGGCTGTGCGCGCTGACGCGGGGGCACTGGTCGCTGTGGAGGAACAAGTTCGCGGGCTTCGAAGACACCGATATATTGCTAGACCTGCTCAAGGACCTGCTGCTGGTCACCCCGCAGTACGACGTCATCTTGGAGTTTGCCGCCTATCGCCGCTCAACGGCTGGGCCAAGTCAAGCCAGACTAGATTTTTCCATCTCCAACCCAAAGCCCCTCAAGGAGACAAACGGCACAGCAGTCATGTACGTACCAGGTACTTCTGTGCACGCGTAACATACACTCCCCGAGGTTTTTCAGTGCAGCCGCCGATGATGTGACATACGTATGCACGGCTGTGCCTTTTTTTTTGGGGGGGGGGGGCAATTGCAGTTGGCTAAGTTTGTGACCCCCCCTCCCCCGCGCAGCCTACCCCTAAAACGGTCGTACATAGGTCAAGTAGGCCGCTTTACTTATTGACACCCCGACAGTCCCTGTGAGTAGGTACCTGCAGCGGCGCGTGCAGGGAAACCTCCGGCATGGAAGGCTAATGGTTCTTTTCACTCGCAGACCGTTGGGTTTCTGGTTGGTGTTCTCCGAGGACTTGGCCGAGGACGACACTCTCGCAAGGGTGTTCCGTGAACTAGGCTCGCGCACGAAGCACGTACATATTCATTGCAAAACATCCGATATGGAAGTGATCTGTGACAGCTTGCAGAATGCCACTTCTATGGAAACTTTAAGTCTGACTTGGATGTGGCCCAAAAACTTTGCAGCACCGTTCACAGGATTTAGCAGCTGCCAAAACTGGCCGCAGGTAAGTTCTCTTGGAGTGTGTGGTTCGGGAAGCCCCGCCCTCCAAGCGTGGGCCCACCGCCCACGCACCGCCGTCCGCCGTCGCAGAGGTGGTAGAGGTACGGGCCGGCCCTCTATCGTGTGTCTCTCTTCTCCCTGTTGGCAGGCGCTGCCTAGACTAAACACTATTTCACTGACATTCTGGGATCACGACTATCCTGAAATATGGACCTCCGCATACGAAGACGAGCCGGCTGGCCAGGAGCCCTCCTGCTTGCAGGCGCTGCTGCTGGGAGCTCATAGGTGAGTCCGCTTGTCCAGGTCCAAGTCACATGAAAGCTCGCGGGTGGGTATTTATCATGCCTGTACTTGCAGTGAGCTGCGCAGCGTACAGCTGCTCTCGCCGGCTGTGATGCCGCTGCTGGACTCCTGCCCCGCGGGCCTCCAGCGGCTCACCGTCTCCGCTGCGCCAGGGATGGCCGGGAAGCTCCGGCGGCTGCGCGAGCTCCAGGAGCTAAAGCTCGTCGACGCATACTGCAATGTCAACACCGCCGAGGTACGCAGCTTGACGCCCTTTTCTCCCGATCGTCTGTGTAAGTTACTCATCCCAACCCCTTATCCTCAGATAGCGGACGCGCTGGGGACCTGGCACGGGCCGCTGCTCAAGCTGACGCTACCGTCCTTCCGGGGCCGGACTGGCTACGAGGACGAGGTGACCGTGATGCAGGCCCTGGGCGCGGGCGCCCTGACCAGCCTGACGCACCTCAGGCTGCGCCTCAGTGGCGAAGGTGGCCTGCGCGCCCTGGCCGCCGCGCTGCCCGCCCTGCCCAGCCTAACCTCGCTGATCGTGGAGGCGGCGCGGAAGCCCGAGGTGCTGCGCGACTTGTTCCGCGGCGCCAGGCCCGCCCTCTGTTCAAGCCTGCTCATTGTCGGCTCCAGTGGCGCACGGGTTCACAGTGAGTTGCCCTCTATTTCTCGCTCGATTGCGTGCCGAGGTGGTTTTCACTAGCGTAATACACTGCACACCTAAACCAGTTATTACGCGTGATGTAAAATGTCAAAATATATGCCCTTAAATGGTAGAACTTTCGATTCAAAACCTCTTTAATACCGACGTAATACCGCGTAATACGTACAATATGCAATACACTGTACACGCAAATTCTGAGTGAAAACCCACTCCTTGCGTGCCCGCCTATATTTGCGATTCGGTTCGGAACGTCAGAACTGTGCCGTCTTTTTGTCGCAGCATCCGAGCTCCACTCGGCTTTCCGGGACGTGGTGCGCCGCGCCCCGATGTCGGTGTCGCTGCACTTGAAGTATCAGGCGCAGCACAGCGAGCAGCCTCTTGGTTTCTGCAGCATCTGCAAAGCCAGGGCCCCGTTCATGCACCACATCGTGTTCGGCAGGCACTCCGCCGCCCAGGCCGAGTCCTGCTCCACGTGCGCCGATGTGCGCGCCTCTTCGCACCCCATGTGGACGACCTCGGGGGCAATCCACTACGTTTGCGTGGGGTAGACTAATCTATCTCATTTTTATGAGACTGTGGTGTGTGAGTGTGTGTGTGTGAGTGTGTGTGTGTGTGTGTGAGTGTGTGTGTGTGTGTGAGAGAGAGAGAGAGAGTGTGTGTGTGTGTGTGTGTGTGTGTGTGTGTGTGTG